CTAGAAGCCAGAGGCTGTTTATAAAGGGAGGGAGCGTCTTGTGTCCATCTGGGACAATCCCAAGTGCTGAAAGCTTCTCCACCCTGATCCCAAACATCTCTTTCCCCCTCTCTCTCTCTCTCTCCCTCCATTTTTCTCCCTGCCTTTTTTTGTTTTGCTCCTTCACAATAAGGTGCAAGCGGATAAATTCTGATTTGCCGCCTGGAAATTACATCCAACTTGTTGCATTCATTCTTTTTTTTTTCTTTTTTTTTTACAGACTCTTGCTGCAAACTTTCATTTTCATCTTCTGGTTTCTTTGTTTTCTTTGTCACTCTTTCCTCTTTGCCTGCTGCTCTGTATCTGTAACGGCAGGGATGCTTCATGCTGTTGCTCCTAACAACATGAAAAACACAAGCAGTTTTTCCGTCCATCTTTGTGTCCACCATATTCCTTTAGTTCCTGCAGGCAGTGAAATGGCAGTGGCAAGTGAAATCCGTATTTTTGTGTAATTTGAACTATAAATAGTTTCCCTTTTATCTGATAGTTTGATCTCCCACAATCCTTCTGACACGGGAGAGTAAAGCTCTGGGATTTGTCTCTTGTCTTTAACGTCTTATATAAAAAACAAGTTCTAAGAAGCTGTAGCTTGTCAAATACTTTATGTTTCCTTGCAGTTCAGTGGCTAATATTATTAGCCAAATGCTATTGTAATGTCCCAGAGGAGAGATGAAGGCAGCTGGATAACGAAGCAGCCAAAGAGCTGAGATCACGTAAAGAAATAATCGTTAACTAGATATACTGAACACACCATCACCACAAACACACTACAAGCCTGAAGGAGATACTTTAAACATGTTCTCCTCCTCCTCTTCATCATCATCAACTTCATCATCATCATCATCATCCTCTTTGATCAGCATTTGCTGATTTCTTCACATTTTCTTAGCCAGAAATAATAATAATAGCCCTATCTGCTCTCCCTTTGTCTAGCCTGCCTGGCCACCCTCCTTCTCCTCTTCCTCCTCCTCTTCCTCTTCCCTCCCTCCCTGCCTTCCTCCCTCTGCGCTGCCTGTGTATCCAGCGATAAGGGGACAGCGACGGTAGCACTTCCTCTCGCCACAGGAAGCAGGAAGTGTTGATTTCCACCGCAGCCTAACTCTGCACTCGACCCGCTGGGATCACCATTTAAATGCGAGCAGCACGCACTCTCAGCCATGCGTGCATGCAGGCTGTGGGATACAGACACATGAGTGCATGTGTTGTGTGCGTGTGTGTGTGTGTGTGTGTGTGTCTTCATACAATGTCTCCACTATATATTTGCTACCTGATGGTTTTCATGGGAAAGCACCTGGAGAGCAGTGCACTCTGTGTGTCTTTGACCTCAGGGTTGGTCTCGCAGGTCAGAGGATGATTGGCTAATTACTCCTGTAATCACAGCAAATGTTTTGTTATCACCCACTTTGGCCACGCAGACCTGGGGAGGCGCTGTTGAGCTTAAAAAAACACAAACAACCATTCATCAGCTAATGGATTCCAGTTATACCGCAGGGTGGGAGGGCTCGGTGTGAGGCTGACATGAAGAGAAAGTGGGGGAAGACAAAAAAAACAGGCAAGAAATGATACCTGAGGGTTTTTTTTTTTTTTTCCTATGAGAGAGACAAACTCCATTTTCTAGTCAAATTAAGATATTTATAATGATGGTGGTTTCTTTGTGTGCGGTTTTCAAATTAGCACTGCTGAAGGAGTGACTTTTATTAATGCGCTTTAATGATATGTTCAGCGTTAACGAAACAAGGCAAAACCGGTAGAAGTGCTGAGAAAAATTTACACAAATTCAGTTGTTCCAAGACGGTGTGAAGAAGATAATCTGTGTCAGCGTGTGACGCATGTGGTCAGAAAAACAAGCTGGAGAAAAACAAGGTTGAAAGTAACGGAGAGGGTTTACAGTGTTATTCTATACACATTATTCTTCTCCAGTCTTTTTCATGCTGGCGTACATTTTTTGTAAAACTATTTTCTCAGCTGTCAGTCTGGTGTTTGTGTAACCTATCTGCTGCTAGCTGCTCATTTGCACTCTTGTATGTTGCGTATGTTGCATGTTTTTAATGGTGTGTTGTGTAATGCAGAGTTTATGTGCTGGACAGTAAAGTCAATCGATCAATCGATCAATCAGTGGATGCCCCTCTATGGTGGAAAATGACAATGGTCCCAAGAGGAGAGGCCGTGTTTCTGTAGTGGCCTCTCTCCGCTGGTTACCAGTGAAGTACAGGAGTTGATTTTAAGATTCTTCATGTTACATCTCTGAACTTCTCGTCCCTTATTCCACCTCCAGGCCCCTCCGAGCCCGCTGACCAATCACTGCTCTTCATTCCAGGGTGGCCTGAATTTGTGGATTTTTATCCAGATATTCTATGTTTTTATTCATTTACTTATATCGTCTTATTCATGTCTTGTTCTTATTTGATTAATCAATGTAAATCTCATAATTTAATCTGTTTGTAAAGCACGTTTGTTGATTTTATACCATACTAATATAACGATATATGATGATTCTAATACTAATATAGCATTATATAATACTATGCTAGAGAAAGCGAACCTTTTTTCAAGAATGTCAAGGGTTTGGCTTCCTGGCTCAGTTTGCACATAAATAATTGTAATGCGTGATGTGCTTGTGGTTTTCCAGGGAAGGCGCTGAGTGTCCCAGTTAATAAATTGATTTAGTAAAGGATGTTTGCTGTGACTTTACCAGCTATTTCTGATGAAGCGAAGTCAACCAGAGAGAGGAAGGAGGAGGGAGAATAATCTATTGAGTATAAAGGGGAAAAAGGAAGGAGGGGAAATTAAAGTGACACCTGTGTGAGTGTGACGGAGGAGTTAGGAAGGAGAGAGCGCAAAGAGGCCAAGAGCAAAACTGAAAGACTACGAAGAAATTTGTGCAAAAGATGTGAGCCTAAACTATGAGCGGGTCAGAGGTCAAGAGGGGTGAGGAGGTCAGAGTGAGCCCAGCAGCTCTACTTAGAACAGGATATCCTGCGAGGAAAAGCCATCTGTCTCTCTTTCGCGTTCCGTCTCTTAAATCCCCGCAGAGGGCAGAGCGGAGAGGAGAGGTGTAACCTTTCACTGAGAACACCAGAGAAAACACACGCCGCCGATGCCAGACGCTTCATTTTCATCAATCACCCGCGGACGGACACAGAGAGAGAGAGAGAGAGAGAGACAGCAGATTTGATGCGTCTCTACCCGACAGGCTGAGCGTGTGAAAAGTGTTTGGCGCTGGGCGATGTGTGATGTTTTCGTCCTGCGCTGCTGTTTGTTGCTGTTTTCATCCCCTCGCCGCAGAGGATCCAACAGCCAAGATAAATTTCCCTGCAGGGACAATGAAGTTTACCTCACTCTATCTTATCTCAGCCAGACAGATAGTGTTTGAAAATGACGAAACATCCCCCTTCAATTTTAATTACAGGCAAGATTAAAATTGATATCAGCCTATTGAGCCCTGCAACAACACTGACATCCAGTTGTGGCTCTAAAGCTTATTGTCATTAAATGTGAGACTACGTTTAGTATTATCCTAAAATGATGTTACATTGGGTTTAGCTTTAGGTTACAGGGTAAACTTAAGGTTTCAGAGTTTCTGTTCCTTTGCTACCTGCCCTGCTGAAGTGTCTTTGAGCAAGGCACTGCTCCCGTGCTCCCCTGCTCCCCTGCTCCAGGCTGGATGGACAAAGTGGAGCAGGTGCTTTTTGACAGGGCGTCTGAGGTCACACAAACTCCTTCTC